ATATCCAGACTATACCATTAGCTTATGGAAAGCGTTCGAATTTATTCACCTTAACTTCCCTAGAGCAATGTTCTCAAAATACCGATTGGTAACTAATGAATATAACAGAATGGTATATGATGGTGGTGTTTGTTCATACGGACGTCACTTTATCAGATAATTTCCTAGGACACTGTTCATTAGTCGCACTCAGTTCGTATCTCAGATACAAAAAATGACATTTATACACCAAACGGATGTGTCCTTATGGTAGCAAAATAAACATTTCAAAAGAAATCTTTTATTTAATTTATCGTGCTGTATTAACTTCCTGTTCATTTCATATTGAAACAGTCTACATTGTTTAAGCTATCTGCATAGTTTTATTTATACTACTTTTGAAATGATCAGATACGATTTCTTTCTTACTTTTCTGATGAAAAGTAAAGTATACACGGTTTTATTTAACATAATGTTACCGTCTTAATTATTTGAACAACCAGGAAGATAAGTGTCTATAGTACTAAGAATACTGGTTAAGACAACTAAGTGTTCGCAAAATTAAATGACGATACAGTAACCTTTCTATTTGTCACAAAAGTAAAGACAATAAGTCAAATGTTCAACTGAAAGATATAAGATTATACAAACTCACCAACATTTGACTCTATATTATTTGAAAGTGTGAGAAAATAAGCATAAACACAGTTATGTTTTAAAATTTTCTAATAATAATAACGGCTTAGTTCCAAACAGTACTTTTAGTACAAATGTGGACTTTCCAACATGCATACCATACTGCATCTAATTTCCTCATTACATAAAATAGAGGGAATAGCTAGGTTGGGCATTTACATTGATATTGTTAAATAATAATATCAGTATAAAATTAGAAATCAGGTGAAAATATTAACAGCAATATAATAATGAAAGGAAGAATAAAAATTACCGCTTACTTAATAGTTCGCAGTAAGTTAGTATTGTCATGCCTTATACTTTTCTTATCACATAAAATATGTGCCTGATAAAGTATTGTAGAGGTTTGATATTTAGTCATTCGAGCATAATGTTGCTTTTAGTCCTACCTGTTGAAATGCACGAAGAGAGTTGTATGTACAGAGGATGCTCAGGGTCCAACAAGATAATATTCGCCGGTTTCCTGCATGAGTCCATGCATCTATCCCCAACAGTATTAACAAGTTGGTTTAGCGGTACCCCACTATCCCCACTAACAGCTTCTACTTCCCTACTCAGTGCTACAAAGTCTTTCTTAAGTAGCTCAGGGAAGATTAAAGTGGGGAGCAATAAAGACGAATAGGTAGAATACAAGAATTAACAGACTGAGAAAGTAGAGACTGTGTGTTGCCAGGTTGGATTATCTTCCTTACCTAGAATGTCAACCGAAATATCGTCCTAGAAACTAACATGATGTCGGAAGATCAGAGGAAATACACAATCCAAAGTACTCAACATTCTACCTAGTTTCAACTTTGGTGCCATCTATAAAAGTAGGATCATGCAAACAAACCAGTTTGTGTAAGTCGCACTTGCATCTGAATGTGAAATTAACAAACTGACATTTATAAGGATTTTGCTCAATACCACTTGACATGAACCACTGACTGATTTCTAACAAAACGTTATTCATTTTGGAACAATCTGATTAAGAAGTCAGATCATCAGCATACCTAACAAAATTGACTTCACCAGAATGAAGCAAGTCATATAAGAAAACGGAAAAGGAGAGAGAACGACACCTTAACGAACACCAGCTAGACTAAGTAAAGCGGTGGAGGACTTCCCACTGTAAATAGTGTACTACTCTCTATCAGAAAAGTAAGAATACAACTGTTTAGTAATCCAGAGCCCTGCTTGTAACGCAGCAAGCTAGTTCGACAAAAGAGGCCTAGTTACACAGTCAGAGGCAGATGTGTAGTCAAAGAAGGCAAATCAAACATGTTTGGCACCTGTGTCTATGTTAGAGACAATATCATGGTAATAGACAACGGTGGCATCTAAAGTATATTTACTATTTTCACACGCAAATTGTTTGGGGTCATTAAAAGTTTTGAGTGAGGTTTCAAGTTTAGGTAAGTAGTTCCTGCATTATTTTTAAAACTAGTGAGGTAATAGCAATAGGCCTAGAATAAATACTTGATTCACTCTGTGATTTCGGCACAGGTAGACTTTAAGATCCTTCCAAAAACAGGCACAATCTTAGTCGAAAACGATTCAGTGAAATTGTTATTGGGAGGATGACATGAGATGTCTTCACATTATTTGAGGATAATAGCAGGTACACCATCTGGACCAAGAGACTGGGTAGGTTTCAAGGATTGGAGACACCTAAAGAAGTTACTTGCAATAATTCCAGAAAAGCGATCATTCTTTACACTTGTAGCATTAGATTCATAACAACTGCTGAAGTTACCAAACTTCAACATATACCTTGAGCATAGGAGAAAACTCTGATACTCAGCTTTTTAAATATAAGAAATGCAACAAAATATTACCCTAATACCCCAAAATGATAACTCACATGCTTTTTTCTTAACTTATCTACTTATGAGTCCTGTGGGCTTTAATTTTACAGTGAATATAAAGGATTTACAGATTAAAAAACTTGTATCTGATTTTTGTATATGACTTGTAGTTTGTTTATTTTCTGAATTATTAAAAACACTTATTAATTATCAAGTATTGGTTTTGTAGGGATTTTGTTTGATTATTAATTACATCTAAGACATATACGAAATACCCACGATATTAGATAAGTCTCATTATTTCAATCTGAGAGTGACAATACAAACAATTAAACCGATTGTTGTTACGTATAAATAGAACCTCAGTGTAGACGTAAAATCAGTTCATATTCATTACCTCTTTATTTCCCGTTTATATGGTATCACCCTGACCTTCATCATATAACTCCACATAACAATGATGCACTAACAAATGGAGTCTAGTGAGTCATAGGAGACATTAGTTACAGACACTAGAGAAGTAATATAGATGACATTTTTGCCACCACTTTCTCAATATTCAGCAAAGCAGTTGTGATAATCAAAAGTCATTCACTTTTGAAATAAAATACTACTAGATCCGAAAAATATCTTCACCTGTGAAATTTTTCAATTACATTTTTCATATAGTACAATTATAGTTAGAATTGTGCACAGATCAAATAATTCAGAGTTGTAAACCAGTTTTTGTCTCTCAAAGGCGTGATACTTATCTTCATTCATATTAAATTTTTATAAGTCTTATGCACATTGCACTCATTCAGTTAATGTATGTCGTGATACACAATATTCACGAAGTCGTTAGTTTTCGTATTTTATGAGAAAATTTAGAATGAGTACGTTTTTTCTCACAGACTGACGATCCTCGTGTACTAATGAAATGCAATGAAACTCTGCCTATTAAGGTTGTCAAGCTTTTGGATTGTTTCGGCAATGACTCAGTCAGGGACTTCGTGCTCAAGGTTAGTCAATTCCCGGAAATAGCATCACTGCCAAGCTTTCATTACGACATTCCAGTGCATTTTGTGGGTGAGTTTATTACTTTGAATGATCCACTTTTTTGTCACCAAGTTAATTAAATTCACGTTTTTTACCAATGTTCCATAACATTTTGACATCAGTTTGACTTGCTTTTTCACTGCCATTCTCTTAAGCACAACCACAGCTATGAAATCTCATTGAATATTGAATGTTTTCAGCTCAACAATTTAATGTTACTAATTAGAAAATTCTATGACAACTATGATCTATGATCTACTCGGTGGCACAGTGGTTAGGACTCTCACCGACCATGCACATGGTCACGGGTTTGAGCCCAAGCCGACGCACACCTGATATCCATGGTCGGCCTGCGAATTTTGGGCTACCGATATCCACGCTGAAAATTCCACACTTGTCCCAAAAATACGATTTGGAATCAAGCTGTAATCAAAAAAAATAAATAAAAATAATCAAAAAATAAAAATACTCCGGTAACCAAGAAGATTACCACACGCACAGCGAGGGCGTGGGTATCATGATTTCACCAACGGCTACGAAGACCCTGATGCAATGAGAGGCGGTCTCACCCAGGATAATGACCACCAGATTCAACTCCAAAGGAAGGAAAGTGCCACTATCTCATACAAGGGACAATCCAAATCAAATTAAAAGCTTTCAGGGAAACAGGAGCTGCAGATAGACCACAAGCCAAGTTCAACACTCAAACACTGAAAGACCAGGCTACAAAAGGCATCTTCATTGCAAACACAAGGGATAAAGCCGAGACACAAATCAACACCAGCGAAGAGGTTGGCGTCAAAAAGCACTGGGACAACTTGAAAACGGTGTGGAGTCAAACCTGCATGGACGTTCTAGGCAGAAAGAAGAGGCAGGACAAACAATGGCTCACCACAGACACAGGGAGACGAATAGAAGAGAGAAGGACGGGGAAACAAAAGATTATTCAGTGCACCGACTAGCAACAAAAACAGGAGTTGAATGCAAGCTACAATACGCTGAACAAAAAGGTGAAAAAGAGTGCCAGGGAAGACAAAAGAAAGTATTATGAAGCCATGGCAAATGAAGCAGAACAAGCTGCAGGCAAAGGAGACCTCGCCACACTGCACCAAACAACTAGGCACCTATCGGGCAAACGTTCGACACAGATTAAGCCAGTAAATGATGACAATGGAAGGTCAATCATCAAAGAAGTGGAGCAAAGAAAACACTGGGCTGAACACTTCGAAAGGCTTCTAAATCGACTACCACCTACAACGCACCCAACAATACCAACAACGGAAGCAGAACTACCAGTGAACATCAACCCTCCGACGAAATCAGAAGTCCTGAATGCAATCAAGATGGAAAAGCAGCAGGACCAGATGGAATCCTAGCGGAATCATTGAAAATGGAACCAGAGACAACAACGGACTTGATGACGCCATTACACGAGAAGGTGTGGAAAGAGGGCGAAATACCCGAGGATTGGAAGAAAGGATACTTATTCAAACTACCGAAGAAAGGAGACTTAAGTCAATGCGAAAACTGGCGCGGAAATATGCTCTTGTCCATCCCAAGCAAAATACTAAGCCGCATCATCCTGGAGAGAATCAAAAAAGCCTCGGATGAAAAACTTCGACCGGAACAAGCTGGATTCAGGAGAAACAAATCATGTATTGATCAAATCGCCACTCTACGGATCATCATTGAACAAAGCTTGGAATGGCAGTCACCTCTCTATCTCACTCAACTTCATCGACTTTGAAAAGGCAGCGTCGATCGAGAGGTCATCTGGCAACTACTTCGCTACTATTGGACGCCATCGACAATTATACATCTCATCCAACAGTTATACGACAATGCTGCATGCCAAGTAATCCACAACGGGAAGCTTACGGAATCCTTCGAAGTGAGGATGGGAGTGAGGCAAGGCTGTCTACTATCGCCAATGATTTTCCTGATTGCAGTAGATTGGACAATGAGACAGACAACGGGCAATGAGGAAACAGGCATAAAATGGGCTCACACAAAAATCTTGGAGGAACTGAATCTGGATCGCCGATGATATATGTCAGACTTCCCACAAACTTGGAGATATGCAAGTGAAAACCAACAAGCTGGCAGAAGAAGCATCAAAGATAGGGCTTCAGGTGAACATCGAGAAAACAGAGGTGATGAAGATTCATGGGAAGCAGCAACAGCAACAACAACAGACAACAATCTGCATAAATGGGAGGAACCTGAAAGAAACAACCTGCTTCACCTACCTATGAGGGAAGCATCGTTTCAACTACAGGCGGAACTGACGAGGATATCAAAGCCAGAATCGGAAAAGCAAGACAAGCTCTCATTACTCTTAAGTCTGTGTGGAGGTCAACAGCACTCGGCATCAAAAATAATACCCTGATTTTCAACTACAAAGTGGAGTCAGTCAGTGCTATTATACAGATCAGAGACCTGGCGCGTCACGAAGGGCACCTCAAACAAACTACAGACCTTCATTAACAGCTGTCTTCGCTCAATACTCAAGATCAGATGGCCGGCCAGAAAAGATCAGCAACAGGGAGGGATCTCTGGGAGCGAACCAACCAGGAACCGATTGTGAAACAACTAGGCAGGAAGAAATGGAGATGGATCGGCCATACTCTGAGGAAACAAGCCATCAAGTGACATCACTAGACAAGCCATTACTCGAGTGGAACCCGAAAGGAAAGCGGCGAGTTGGTCGTCGGTGCTAGGGTGACTTGGAGGAGGTCGTGTGAAGAGGAGATGAAAGCATATGGGTAGACTTGGAGTGGGGCGAAAAAGTTGGCAGAGAACAGAAGGTAATGGAGATGCACAGCTGGATCCCTATGTTCCTCTAGTAATTGAAGGATATGATAATAAATAATAGTAATGACAAATAAGATATATATTTCAGTACAAATTAACACTATTGCAGAACAGAAATCTTTCCAGTGTCACACAAACCAAAAGTGGTTTTTATAATCAAAATCAAATGAATTAGTGAAATAATAGGCATATCTTACCATCTGCAAACATTCGGAAACCATTTATTTCGTAGTGAAAATCGTTTTTGGCTGTAATTGTTTTAGATAAAAGTACTGTCAGTGTTTAAGTAGTGCTTGAAAAATGTTAAATTATTTAAAAATGGTTTATTAACTAATAGATATTACTAAATGTATGCAAAGGTGTTGAATTAAACAATCAGCGGTTTCATGAAATTGCAACATATGGAATAATAACTGCCTTACAGATACTTAGTGGTCGTTCATGTTACTCTCGATTAGATAGAATTAACAATACAGTCATATCTTGTTCATAAATCATATTTCTAAAGAATTTCCAGCACCCAAAACTAGCCATATCACTGACAACTTTAACTTCAGGTAAATAGCTTCGATTTTTGAAGCATAACTTCTCTCCAAAAAACCTTTTAGGAAGAATATGCTATGGTGATATTTATACAGGTTGTCCGTGAACCAAAAATATTTGCATATGGTTGCCCACATGATAAATGGCTAGAATGATTTTCCCTAATAGTAAGTTAATCAAATTTAGAAAAATAAATTATTTCCATTCTAAAGTTCATAAACTACATACTAATTTCATTCCACACAGTATCATACACTGTCTAGATTAGTGAGCGTATTATTTCTTTGTATTCTTGAAGACAACAGCCAAGTGCTCAGTGTACCTCAGAATGTGAACGATTAAAGGAACACACATATGAAAATGACTTATGCAGCATTCGCATAATCTACAAAGATATGATTTCATTGAGACCGTTTTGACCGAAGTGACCACCTATTTTTATTCTATGTTGCAAAATCGACTTTGTTTGCAATCATTCATATTGAATTTTGTATATTTTACTATTTGTATTACTCTTTCTTTCAGCTTTTATTGACCTTTTCTTATATATTTATTATAGCTCAATCTGTTATTTGTCACAATAACAACTTCCGTCTCAGCGTCAGACTGTCTCCTCCTACTATTACACGTGTTGGTGATAAACTCAATAATCATTTTCAGCCTAAGATAAGATATCGACTCTTTAATTATTCTAGAAAATGTAAGTTAATATTCATTACAAGCTAACTAGTGTCTTATCATTCTTTTATCTGAGAAACTTACCTGGCGCCGGGTTCAGGGTGATCAAGAATGCTCTGACCCCGGGTGGAGGCTCACCATTGCACCTCGGTGGGTTGAAACTCGCGACGGACCATAATCGGGTGCGCTCGGCCGTGTAGTTTTTGTCAGTGGTGAGGCCTCACGGTCCTCCCTTTATTGTGTGCGTCGGTGGCACAGTGGTTAGGACTCTCGCCGACCATGCACATGGTCCGGGGTTCGAGCCGACGCCGCCACACACCTGATATCTATGGTCGGCCTGCAAAATTTGGGCTACCGATATCCATGCTGGAAATTCCATACTTCTACCAAAAATGCAGTGTGGAATCAAGCTGTAAATCAAAAACAAGAAATAAAAATTAAAAAAAATGTTTTCATCAGCATTTTCAACAAGCAATATTGATTTGTAAATCCAAACAGAGTCTTTGAGATTATTAACTAAATTAATCTATACTGATATCAGCTCATTGAACGATAAACCCATTTGTTAACATAAGGTCATTTCAGAAGCATGTTCTTACTACAAAAGCTTTTTATTACCTTAAATGTCATAATAATGATGATTTACTTTATTCCAAAACAGTACTTATGATACTGAATGGAATTTTCATCATTAATCACAATATTGCATCTAGTTTCCTCAAATTATAAATAAAATTAATCACACAGAAAATCTTCCACATTTACAACATGTCAGAAACATGCAGCTTATAAAATAGAAATAATGATAACACCTTAGGTAATAATAATACAAGTGAAAAATCGCTGTGGGCTTGTGTCACACACTATTGTCAATGCGGTATAGAAATCCCAGCATGTTTAAAAATATTTAATATAATGTTCTCTTTACATGATATGGTGAAGGGAAAAACAAAGATTACAGCAGTCATAGAGATAAGTTGGTGCTTGCAATTATGAGAGTAAAGCAAAGAAGCAACAGGACCATAAATATAATAGAAATAATAAAAGTACAACTTGAAGGTATATAAGGTTGGATGGAGGAAATTGTTTATTTACTAGATGAAGAAAGGTTAGTTAATTCTTGCCTGACACTGTAACAACAGAAGACAAGGGCCAGGCAACAGATCGTTTTATTATGAAAATCAACACGTATTTATACATCTTTCAACTACATTATTATAGACAAGCGCAGTCATCTGATTGGTTGTTTAGGTAGACAAACGCAGGCTTCTGATTGGTTGTTTCGGGATTCCTTGACAAATAGAGTTCTCTCTGCGAATCATATTTTGCCACGTTAACTTTGCTGTGATTGGTTGTTGACTCAGGCTTGTTCACGGCCCATATTAGTGACCTAGACCTTAACGTAGATTAGTGCCAACCAATCGGCTAGCAGCCTGCTCTCACCACACTCGTCCCCCCCGTCAAATACGTGCGACTGAAGTCGGCTTGATCTACTTGGTGCAGGCGTCATCGTTGGCTTGTCTCGCTGTATCCATTTCTGGAGCTCGCTGACGTTCACGCGCCTCTCATTGTTCGCCATTGCGACTGTGTCTGCGTAACCCCATCTCGAAGTGACCATATATGGTCCTTCCCAATTTGGAAACTGTTTGCCTGACCCTGTCGAACATTCGTCCATACTTCGGCCCACACCTTCATATGCTGCTTTCGGCCGACCTCCCAGCAGCGTCTCAAGTAGCAGCTCCATCGCTGACAGATCTTGAACGCCACTCAACTGCGCAGAAGCCTTGAAGTCCTGCCCGAAGATCCATATGTCTCCATCAAAAACTGCAGGGTATAGGCTTTTCATTTGTCGGTAGGCAGCGACACCAAATGTAACAACAGAAGACAAGGGCCAGGCAACAGATCGTTTTATTATGAAAATCAACACGTATTTATACATCTTTCAACTACATTATTATAGACAAGCGCAGTCATCTGATTGGTTGTTTAGGTAGACAAACGCAGGCTTCTGATTGGTTGTTTCGGGATTCCTTGACAAATAGAGTTCTCTCTGCGAATCATATTTTGCCACGTTAACTTTGCTGTGATTGGTTGTTGACTCAGGCTTGTTCACGGCCCATATTAGTGACCTAGACCTTAACGTAGATTAGTGCCAACCAATCGGCTAGCAGCCTGCTCTCACCACAACACTACTTTCATCACATAAAATACGTGCCAAGTATGGTATCATAGAATTTCTACACTTAGACGTGCGAGCATACAGTTTTCTGAAGTTACTCCTTGTTCTACCTGAAGAGATGCAAGGTGAAAGCTGAGGGTAAAGCGGATGCTCCAAGTCAGACAAAATCCCTTTAGCAAATTTATTGCACGAAGTCAAGTGCCTTTTGATAACAACATTAACTATGTGGTCCACTGGATCACAATTCACCCTACCGATAGTCTTCAGTATTCTACGAATTGTGACATAGTCGTTTTTAAGCAAATCAGGAAAGAATAAGGGTGAACAATAAAGAAGAATAGGTAGGATGCAAGAGTTTATGAACTGTATGAGGAAGGGTTGAGTAATACCCGAGTGCCTTAACTTCTTAATGACTCAGTATGGGAATATTTCGTTTAATGAAAAATGTCAGGTGGAATATTTTACTGGAGATCGCTAAGACATGGGAAGACCAGGAGAGATGAGAAGAGAGAATAAGTTCAAGATACTTAATTTCTGATTTGATTCCTATGTCACGGTCGTCAATCTTACAACTTTCATGAGAATCGATGACTTCTTTTAACTGTCTTTTACATCTTAAGCTGAAATTAACAGTTTGACACTTAGAAGGATTCAGTTTAAGACCGTTAGACTCAGACCATTTGCTGACTCCCGATAGAAAGCTATTTATTTTAGTACAATCTAGCTGGGAGTTAACAGCCATTGAAACTGTTAAATCATCAGCGTACTTCACAAAGTTTATTTCATCAGAGTGAGGCGTCATACAAGAAGAAAGAAAAAAGAAAAGGAGAAAGGACAGCGCCTTGAGGAACACCAGCTTCAGTAGGCAATGAAGTGAAAGACTTCCCTTTATATACGGTGTTCCGCTTTCTTTCTGAGAAATGAGAATGTAGCCAGTTAACAGCCCAACATTCTGTTTGACTAGCAGCAAGTTTATTTAATAAGATGTCCCTAGGGACCGAGTCAAAAGCAGATGCAAAGTCTAGGAAGGCACAACGAACAAATTTAGCCCCCTTGTCTAGACTGGAAGCAATGTTATGATATAAGACGGCAGCTGCATCTAAAGTGCTTCTACTGTGCTTATAGGCAAATTGTTTAGGGTCATTAAAGGATTTAAGCGAAGGTAGAAGACTAAGTAAAAGTAATTTCTCCATAGTTTTCAAAAAAGGAGAGGTAATAGCAATGGGTCTAAATTTGACACATGCTCCAGTAGATGATTTAGGTATGGGTACAACTTTAATGTCCTTCCAAACGGCAGGCACAATATTATCGGAAAAAGATTTGTTAAATAGATCAGTGAGAGGGTGACACAGAATATCAGAACATTTTTTAAAAATAATACTAGGTACATAATCGGGACCTAAGCTCTGGGAAGGGTTTAGAGACTTGAGGCACTTTTGAACATCATTTGTGTTAAAACCTGGAAAGGGGCTATTATTAACACAAGTGATGCTGGGAAGCATGGCATTTGAGGGAGAGTAAATAAAAGATTTGTTAAGAGTACATACATCAAAAGAATATGGAATATTGTTTATCTGCTTACCACCAGTGATTTCCTTAAATAGTTTCCACATATTAGAAGGATTTTTGCAGGATATGAATTTCTGGTTATATATTACATTCAACCCCTGCATTTCAGACTTAATTAAGAAGTTAGTTCTTTTTACACCACTTTTATCTTTCATCTTAAACAGTTTTTCCTTCTCTCTACGAAGCTTTTTAAGTTGAGGCGAGGAGAAACGGTCAAATTTGACGAATAGTGTTTCTTTTGGACAGTAGATTTCAAAACAGAATTTCAGATAGGATGTAATATTAGAGATATTGTCATCAAGTGAATCATCATTAAACAAATCCCATCTTGTGTCACTGAGCATGTTTCTAAGATGATGTACGTTCTCATTTGAGTAGCATCTGTGAACAACTTTCTTAGACAAGTTTGAGAAGCTTTACTGTGTAACTTTCCGTAAATTTTGGGTAAAACTCGTAAAATACAATGATCAGAATTGAAGAGCGGGGCTCTTTTACGAGCTTCGTATATTCCAGAATCATTTATAAATACTAAATCAAGTGAAGTATTTTGTCGAGTTGGGAAATTAACAACATTTTCATGGCCCAGCAATGTAATAAAACTGCAGTCGCTTGAGTTGAAGTCGCCAGTCACTATAGATAAGGAGTTACCAAACGAAGCAGCAGCAAAAATAGTGAATTCATCAGCGAAGATAGATAGTTCTGAGGGACTGCAACAAGGTGTGATATAGATATTTGTGACAAAAACGAAACTATACTTAGATAAATATTTAGGTCGACATTTTACAGTTAAACAATCAATATTGTCATTTGAGAATTTGAAGCAGACGTTGTTGGCAGTAGACCACTGAGAATTAATAAAAGTGGCAACACCACCACCTCTCTTCTTCTTTGAGCTGCATCGGTCTTGTCTGTAGATTGTGAAACCACTTAAGGAGACTAAATTATCGTCATATGAATCATGGAGCCAAGTTTCTTGAAGAGTGATTACACCAGTATTACAATATACATTTGAGTATAATAGAGAATGCAAGTAGTTAATCTTGTTCGATAATGACCTGCAATTTGTGCTCATAATCACAGGAACAGTCATCTGATGCATTGGAGTACACTTTAATGATCTCTGCCACCCACCATGATGCTTTTTCTTAAGGTTATTATATACTCGTAAATCATCAGGTTGAAAACATTTTAAATAATCGCGAGAATAAGTAATGCGATTTGGACACGTAATTGAATAACTAAAACAAAATAAATACGAGGAAATAGATGCAATA